ATTTTCCATGAACTCCTCTAGAGTTTTGGTTTTTGCCGTTGCCATGAAAGTTTAGGCTCATCAACAGTGTCTGCATGGCAGGTGTGAGAAGGAGAAAAGAGCAATCACAAAACTCTTACCAATTAGCCTTGTGTAAACACCATTTTAAACCTGACTAATTGGTATCCAAGATTCGCTGAGAGCTCAGGGATTTTGTAGAAAAAAATTGCCCAACAGGGCATACAATTACAACCCTTGGCACCTTCGTGTGTGAGCACTAATGGGTATTTCAGAGAGTTGGTCGAGAAAAGGAGTTGGAAATATGAGAGGACATGAAGAGGACAAGACAGCAGAACAATGGGGTTAGTGATGGGTGGCAATGAGAACAGGGTTCTTGTGAATGTAGATGAAGAAAGCATCAGAGGTCCACTGGCCATGGGCTTGGATCAAGTAAGGTGGGACACCATCCTCTGCAAAAGCGGTGGCTCCACCAGCATGAATGGACTGGCCTGCAAATTTTGGATTGGGGAAAAGCTTGCACATGTAGGTGATGAACCAGGATCATGTGGGACAGAACCAGCAGAGGTTAGCCAAAGGCTGGGGATGAGCAGGAATCTGATATTGCAAAGCTGGTCATATCTCATGAAGATTGGGACTGGGTCATAGGAGAGATCTGGCATAGCTGAAATGATGACTCTATTTCCTTCATACACAAAGTTAGCCTTGTGAGCAGGCAGGAAGAATGCATACCCCTCTGGAAGCCATTTAACCAAAGCACACTGAATGACTTTCCTTGAACTCCTCAATGCCTTGGTGTCCAGCATGCACATTTCACCCAGTCTCAACAGCCCACTGAAGCCAGTGAGAAGCATTGCAAGAAACAGACAGTCATCAAAGTGTGGTGAGTGGATGAGCTCTTGGACTGCAAAGATAAGATGGTCATGAGACAGAGGAAGCTTACACTTGACCTGGGTGCCATGCAGTCAACAGCAGCCCTTTAGAGTGCAGGTGACCATGGGACTCTTCCAGATCGAATGAGTGTCAAGGAAAAGGGTTCAAGCTTATTGCAAATACTGGAAAGATAGAATGGTGTAGAAGCTAAGAGTGTCAATGGTCAGTTCTATGGACATATTGTGCATCCTGCAGAATGTGATATAGGAATTGAGCACAGATGTGTATGATGAAAATGAAGATTTGTCAATTGCAAAGCCAAGGGCAAGAGCTTGTTTGTGATGCAGATGTGCCGGGGTCCAAGGCTCATGGACCTTTTGTCTGGACCCTGGTGAGAGTTCAATCAACATGAGCCTGCCCCCACCATAATGTCTGATGGGAGTTTAAAAGAATTGATAATGATTCCAGGGTTTAGGTGCCTGGCTTTGTCAAGCTTCGATCGTGATAGTGCACAACATGCAGATCAATTCCATGGGATATGAGAACATCGACTGTAAAACAGTGCAGTTTTGAGTGTGTTAAAGATATCAATGGTGTCATGACTGTCAGTCTTGACTGTGAGGCAATGGACCCCATACAGAGAGTGGTCAACATCTTGGCCAGTCCAATGTACTGCTGAGCACACACACAAAGCTTTGAAAGAGGATCAAAGAGTCTTCATCTGCTACTCCTGGTATTGGGCAGACAAACCCTACACCTAAGTCAGGCACCCAAAAACCCATACCTGTGAGGCATACATCACACTCTATAATAGTTATTGACTCCAAGTAAGAATTCCAATCTCACAACTTGAAGCAGAGCACACTGGGTAACTTCTTGATATGCTCAGCCATCCACTTGAGATCGTCCTTGATAGCCTGACTGACTCAAATGAGGGCATGACCATTCTGCTTGCCTGACATCTTGGCATAGAGGTTGCACAATCCTGGCTTCATGAGCAGGAACACGTTGAATGACCAATTGGACCAACCAGTCATACATTGAAAGTCCTTCAAAGGACAACGTGTAGATGTGATGAACACATGAATATTTGAGATGAGGTCGGACTTGGATTCAGGTGACAAAGTCGCCATCATTTCATTGATGTCAACATCATACCCAATGAAACCAAGAACTCTGCCTGACACCTGCTTAGGGCAAGTATGAGGGATACCTAGCTGGTCCCAGGGGTGGAGTAGGTTTGCTTGCTTGGTAGGGAAGTATTCTCCATATGGCTCATAAAACGACTTCACCAAAGCAAGTTCCCATGAGAAGTCATCATTGCTATAACTGATGCAGAGATTTAAGGACACACCACGTGAGGTGTTTGGGAGACTTGTACAGTGCAGAACAGGACATGCACACATAGGCAAGTACTATGAACTTTTCAATATTCCAGAGGCAACTGACTGCGAATGTGGTGAGCAATTACAAACACGAGAATATATCATATGAACGTGCCCAAGATACAGCAATTATCGACACATCCTATGGGAAGAGTCACAGAACCTAATCATGTGTGACCTCTTGGGTACAAAAGAAGGCATCAAAGCAGTGGTGAGCTTCCTAGCAGAGTCAGGAGCCTTCATGAAGACCGGAAATCTGAGGCAAGAAGTGGGCATGCTGCTATGGGAAGACAAGCCCAAGCCACATGAACCAGAAGATGAAGAGTGATAGAACCAATGCAGCGTCAACTAGGCCTGAGCAAGGCCCATCTCCCACCCAACTTATTTATTTTTCTCCCTCTCAGTAGTTAGAGTACCCATACAATGGAAACAACGAGACCACAAAAAAAAAGTTATGTAGAATTTTACCAGATAATTATACAGTCCATAGAGCTGAAAAGTAGAAGAGCATTCAAATGAGTAGTGGTATAGGCTTACATTACAGTAGTATACTATACCCCCACGTCTTCACCCATTATGAGGCATGTTGTGAGTAACCAATCCAGATCATCATCATCATTGCTATAGGTAAAAATGTCCTTGATGTCTTCTACATGGATCGTGATCCAGGTTATGAGACCATTCATGCTGTACCAAACTCTGTATGAACCGTGCCCACCAAAGTTGTTGTCATGGTCCACACACCTCTGGATAACTTCCTTAGTGCCAGTGGCCTTTTGCTCATCTGTGAGATAGCCAGTTGTAACAATCTGTTTGAGCTGCCAGAGCAGTTGCATAGGGCAATTACAGTATGCCTTGGTGACATCCAACTTCCAGACAACTAAGTCAGCATTTGCATTGGCTGGTGATGACTGTCTGAATCTCAACAAGGCAGCAAAAAAGTTGTGAAGTGTATCGAGACAAGCTCCCACAATATCATCATGAGAAATCATTGTATTGGGAGAAAAAGTACCCACCAACATGTTAGAAACTAGGCATAGGTCATCAGAGTGAGGCTTAGGCACAGCATGCACAGGTGTACTGTACATTCCTGGTAACAAGTCAGGTCCAAACACTGGAGAAAACTGGCCTGCAGCCATCTCACTGTCCCTGTATCTGATGATGAACTGCTGTTCCATCTCAGAGCATGGGGGCATGCGAGAATGGTCCCAGGTTACCAGATAGTCTGAAGTCAGTGTGGTGTTAGCCCAAGGCCAGAAGCCTTCTCGCAGGCTGACCAGGACCGACTTTACAAAAGGCTGGTTAGGGTGTTGAGACAAGGCTGCCTCAAAGGCATTGACATTGATGGGAGTGACAACCTTGAATAATTCAGGATTGTCATGAATCATAGCAACCATGGCCTCATTCTGATACTCCACCGCCAGAGGTCTGGGCAGTAGAGGATCATGTTTGGTGTAGGCTGCTGTTTGAATTGTATATTTACTACAAGGTGAAAAGACTAATTGATGCATAGACCATGGTGCATAAGAAACTGGTACAACATCATCATTAGTGCAAAAAGAGTTAGAGAAACCATCCAAGTCCAACCAATTGCAATGAAACCCTTGATAGACATCTGATGGAGGCCTCTTAGCTGGTGAAGAGGCTCTGTGCATGCCAAGCTCGAAATGTGATAGCATAGACACACTAAACACACCCACTCTCACTCTCACACACACACAGAATCTCAGTAGTTTGGGGGAGATGTGCGATGCAAGCACACAATAACAGTAGAATTAAAAGATGTCTTGTGCTATTACGGATATTTTCTTTGTTTCTTATTTTCTCTCTAGGTACCTTACTGACTCATACGTGCTTAGTACTATGACATGCGGACGTCATATTCACACTTCTATTCAGACCAAAGTACCAGCTTATCGTATGACTCACGGATCCATTAGTTACTATATTTAAGACCTCCTTCATGTATTTAAACCAGCCAAGCTGTGGCCTTAAGCCCCAGCTTTGGCTAAGGTTCATATACCTAGTTATCAACTCTATCGCTCTCACCTAGGCTGTCTAAGTTACCTATCAAAGACTACTTGTGCCTGCTCATTGTATACTTGACTGAAGTGCAAGTCACATCATGAGTTTGACCTTGTTTGTTGTACTAGTGGGTTACATTTAGCCAAAGCTTCTCTCAAGGACCTTCATTGTCAACCACGACAGTAAACGTCACCTATGAGCAGTACATCATCCAACACCTTTAATGTCTTTGCCAGTTTCCTAACCACCATCATCATCCTCGTATTTTGTTTCCTATATGGATACCTCCGATACAAATGATGACATCATGCCAGAGTCCCGCAGACCCCCAATCCTGGGAGAGTATACTATGGGCTCGACGGGCAACCCAGACGCACCCCGTTCCACTATTGAAATGCCAGTACCTTCAGATTCCGGCACAGCGCTTCAACATCAAGGAACGAGGACATCCATGCTGACATCCCAGTCGAGTGAATCGAAGAGCACATGGAAGGCGAGGTTCAGGTTGGCGGAGTCGAAGAGCAAAACGACGCCAACCAAAGGGAGCAGCAAGTCCTCACAGACAGGATTCTTTGGGCATCTGCAGACCCCTCGGACGAAGAATACAGGATCGCTGAAACCAGGATCGATCCAAGCACCGGAGGAGTCATCATTGGCCCAGGAACTTGTCCCCATGCCATCTGACTCTACACCTGCACCAATGACGGGGAAGAAACTTTTATGGCCTACCATGGATTCCCCCCCCATGCCCCCGACCCAGACAAGGTCCCCGAGCCAGAAGAGTTCAATGCCTACCAGCGTGACTGGACGGTCATGGATGCATGGCACCAAGCCAACCGGCTCCCCCCACTCGAGGATGGGGAGATACCAGAGTTTGACCTCCAGTACCCAGACTCACCCACTATCCCTGGCTTCCCAGATCTCAGTGTTGCCACTGGGAGAAGCAACACCGTGACCAGAGGGGAGAATACTAGACCCAACCCCAGAGACACATCTGAGTCAGACCCCTATGACTCATGGGTCACTGACGATGAAGAACATAACCCCTACACAGTCAGAGATGAGCTTGCCACCCACCATCTTGGGCCATATGGCGAGTGCCACGGAGATTTATGCTGCCAGCTTCAAGCCATTGCTGAGGACTGAAGAAGGGAGTATGACACACCTGAGCCCCTTGTCCCCTATGTCAGGTGGACCCTTGGAGAGTATGGAGCCGAGCCAGAATTGGCCAGCTTCTTCTTCAATCAACCTGTCCATTCAGAGTGGGATGTATTACACAGAAGATTCCAGAACTTCACCCATGCCATACGAAACAGAAACTGGGCCCTCACGAGAGCAGGAGGTGCCCATGTACTGGAAAGACTCAAACATCCCATACTACTGTGACCTGAGGATCAGCCCCTCTATTTCTGGCCTCACAATACTGAAACCACCTGCTGGAACCACCTCCTACCATGGCAGTGCACAGACCTCACCAATTTCTGCTACTGGCTCCAGGGACCCAACACTGAGGAGTCTACACCCTACCCCAGATCAACCCCTGAATCCCGCAATGATGAAAGCGGTAACAGAAATGGATTGGGAGGAACTAGTGGAATGGCAGGGTAGATCCCTGGCTAATGAGGGAGCATGGATCACTATGGAAGCCGCTAAATTAATGTACCAACCCCAAGCGCCGAATACAGTCTGAAATGCTATTTACGAAGATGAAGTCCGTTACCATGCTGCCAAATTATGGAACCAACTGCATGATGATCATGCAGACATTCTACAACCCTTCAAACAGCGGAGTTACCCACCATATCACTGGGCACTAATTCCCAAGGACCCCAGCCTGGAACGACACACCTTACCCCTGGGAAGCAGACTTCTGGAAGGAATGCCGACCAAAGAAGAAGGACTGTCAGATGTCCCCATAGAACAAACCTCCCAGCATGTGAAGAAGAATGTCTGTCCCACTCGAAGGCCCCCACCACCCCCATCTCCTCCATCACCACCCTATGATCCCCATCATGATTATGAACTATGATCTCTACCCGAGTTAGTAGACCTGGAGCTACCTCCTGAGCTGCCAGGACCCCCACTGGATAGCCCTGGACCATGGGAATTAGAAGGAAGCGAGCTTCCCTGGGGAGCCGTTAGACCAAAAATGATGAAGACCCTGGCCCCCTTCTCAGGAGCCTTGAGCGATGTAAAACGGTTCCTGTCTGGGTGCGAGGACTATTTTGCGATCTTTCCCTGAGAATTCCCAATGAGCAACAGAGGCTATGCCCCTTTTAAGGTAGTATTCGCTACCTCCTTACTGGAAGGGAAGGTACTAGAGTGGTGGGTCCAGAAGAAGAGACACCTGTATGATGCCACTTGTTGGCACACCAGGTATCCCACCTGGCCCAGCTTCGATGCCAACTTCAGGGAAAGATTTAGGGAAGCAGCTGAGATTGAGCTAAAAAGGATCAAGTGGAAGACACTACAACAGGCGAATTACAAAAATGCTGTTGAATTCTTTGTGGACTTCGAAGAACTTGCCATTGAGGCCAAGAAGTTCAGAAATGAGGAGGAAATGACCGACATGGTGAAAAGGGCCATCTGAATGAAGACCAAAGACATCATTATGCACGGAGACAATAATTGACCCCGCAACTATGAAGAATGGAAATGGAGAGTAAAGCAGATTGACAAAAACTATCATGTACATTGGGCAGAAAAGATGGGAGCAGGTAAGGGACCACTGCCCAAGAACACCACCCCAAAAGCTAGCAACCCCGGCACCACCAATCATCGGAAGGATGCCATGGGGACCACCTACGGGGGCCAGGGACTCCCAATGGAAGTAGACTGCCTCAAGAAGGATGGGCTATGCTTCCGTTGCAGTCTTCCCAACCACATGGCGAGAGACAATAAGTGCCCTACTGACAAATCCCTGTGGAAGATCAAGCCGAAGGCCACTCCTGGGCTGGCCAGTACAAATTATCCAAATCTATGATACGTGCAATGCTCAATGACCCCAACCGACCCGAAGAACTGGTGGACACTACTGGAGTAGAGGAGGTAAAAGACTAGCTGGTGAGAAAGTAAGCGATTCGATCTCGCCGGCCAGGACTTTAGTTTCTGCATTATATGTACGTCCCATAACGCATTCGAATATACCCCCATTGCCGTTATATCCTGCAGAAACGAAGAATGAATTGTCTGACACCTCAGAGGAGCAAGGGGCCACTGATGGTGGAATAAGGGAAACAGAAGTGCCAATGAAAGGTCCGGGTCTATGCACAGGTGGGCCCATACCTGCCGAGGACCCTAATGGAACATGCCACGACACGGAGGCCTTTATGTCCCACTCCACCTCATGTGAAACCCCTACCCAGACGAGAGTCATGGTAGAAGAGATACCCGATGAAGAGGACAACTACAGCTACCTACACCCCAAGGAAGCCTATGCTGAGGCAAAGACCCAAACCAAGATCGTGGAGTACCCTCAGCAGACAGGCACCAAGTGTCCACAAGCATATGACCCCTACCAGGATCGACCAGAGTGGATACGATGAGGGTTAAGAAACACTCAGGGCCTCAAAGCCAAGAAGGAGATCCTTCGGCGGTGGATGCACCCCTCGAAGACCAAAGATGTGATAGCTGAGACAGTATGGAGGCTGGAAGAAAAGGAGACAGAAAGCCAAGAATAGAGGGAACAGAGGTTGGAAGAACTAGAAGAGCTATGCGTGCCCCTGCAGTACATATGTGGGGAAAAGGGGCACCATGTCACCATCAAGCTACGACTTGAGACCCTGGACAGTTGGGATCTCCACCAGGTAATGGCATTGGTAGACAGTGGATGCACCAGGAGTGCCATAGACCGAGAATAGGCTAAAGCACATGGCCTGAACTTACAACGAACCGTGTGCCCCACCCCGGTTTATAATGCGGACAGAACTCAAAATAAGGGAGGGGACATAACAGAGTATGCAGAGGTTAGGCTGGTGATCAGAGACCACGAAGAGCGCATCGAACTAGCCATTGTGGACTTGGGGACCACCCCTATATTTCTCAGATACGACTGGTTGCAACAACACAACCTGGTTATTGACTGGACTATGGGGGCTGTAACCCTAGCATGATGTGACTGCAGGCCTATCCCATTCTGACTACCAGATGAGGACTCCTTACGCTGGACAGAGTATGAGGAGGGAGATAGAATTCTGGTAGTCAACATGGAGCAGGCCATGCACCTATGGGCTGCGGGAACCTTATCCAACGACTTAGCAGCTCAGGCAAACAAGAACAAACCAAACCAAACATTCAAAGAAATTGTACCCACTGCATACCAAGACTACTATGATGTCTTCGCCAAGGAGAACTTCGATGAACTACCCCCCAACAAGCCCTGGGACCACGCCATCGAACTGATCCCCAATGTGAAAGCCAGTCTAGATTGCAAGGTGTACCCTCTCAACCCCTGAGAACAGGAGGAGCTGGACGTATTTCTTGCTGAGAACTTAGAAAGTGGGAGGATTCGTCTGTCTAAATCTCCCATGGCATCCCCATTCTTCTTTGTAAAGAAAAAGGATGGGAGGCTAAGGCCTGTTCAGGACTACCGAAAGCTCAATGAGATGATGATAAAGAATTGGTACCCCTACCCCTGATTGGAGAACTGATGGACAAGCTCCAAGGGGCCCGATACTTCACCAAACTGGACATATGATGGGGATACAACAATGTTAGGATCCAAGAAGGAGATGAGTGGAAGGCCATGTTCCGCACCAACCGAGGACTGTTTGAACCACTAGTAATGTTCTTTGGGCTCACTAATTCACCAGCCACGTTCCAGTGGATGATGAACGATAGATTCAAAGACCTCATCGCCGAGGGAAAGGTTACCGTTTACCTTGATGATATCCTCATCTTCACTCAAACACTCGCAGAACACCATCAAGTGACTAGGTGGGTACTTCAACTACTTTGTGAACACAAATTGTTCCTGAAAGCACCAAAGTGCGAGTTCGAAGTACTCGAAACCGAATACCTAGGGGTACTCATCAGCGAAGGAAAGGTATGCATGGACCCTGTCAAGATCACTGGAATTCTAGAATGGCCAGAACCCACCAAAAAGCAAGAACTACAGTCATTCCTGGGCTTCACCAACTTCTACCGACAATTCATCAAACACTACAGTGATAAAGTACACCCATTGACATGTCTGACAGGGAAAGTACCCTGGGAATGGGGAAAGGGGCAACAGGAAGCATTCCAGGAGATTAAGAGGTGTTTTCAAAATGGAGTAGTACTAGGAATGGCTGACATCACCAAACCCTTCTGAGTAGAAGCCGACTCCAGTGACGGGGCCATAGGGGCAGTGTTATCTCAAGAGGACAACAGGCGTTGGAGACCCTTAGCATTTCTCTCTAAAGTGCTTACAACCACTGAGTGCAATTATGAGATATATGACAAAGAGCTTCTCGCCATCATAATAGCCCTGTCAGAATGGTGACATTACTTGCTAGGGGCCCAACTCGATTTCAAAATCTGGAGCGACCACCAAAATCTCCAGTATTTCCGAAAGCCACAAAAGCTCAACCGCAGGCAAGCTCAGTGGGTTACGGAACTAGCCAAGTACCACTTCAGTCTTCATCACAAACCAGGAGCGTCCAACAAAAAGGTGGATCTACTCAGCTGCAGGGCAGACCATGAGCAAGGAAAAGACGACAATCAGGACATAATTGTTCTCACCCCAGAACACTTTCGGGCCCTGAAAATGCCTGCTAAAGAGGAGATTCATGGCTGTATCTGCCGTGCGAGCCAAGATCTGTGCAATTGGGATCAGGGTGTCACCACCTCCCTAAACCACGACGAGGGAGTGACTAAAGAGGAGGGTCTACTCCTTCATGACAGTTGCATCTACATACCTCACAACTTCCCTCTACGAGGTGACATCATAGCACGACATCACGACCACATACTGGCAGGCCACCCAGGGATAGAAAAGACAAAGGAATTAATACTCCAGGAATACTGGTGGCCCAAAATGCGAAAGGATGTGGAGGATTATGTACAAGGATGCGAGACCTGTCAATGTACCAAGGCCCATACTCAAGCCCGCAATGCTCCCCTGTATCCCAATGAGGCCCCAGACAGACCCTGGGACATCGTTACAGTCAACCTAATTACTGACCTGCCCGAGTCAAATGGTCATAATGCGATACTTAACATTGTCGATTGATGCTCAAAAACCTTAATACTGGTCCCATGCTCCAAGGAGCTATCGGCAAAAGGCTGGGCAAGAATTCTCCAAGATGAAGTCTGCTGCAAGTACAGACACATACCTTCCAAAATTATCTCAGATCGTGGACCCCAATTCGTCGCCAGGTTTACTTGAGAACTGTACCAACTCCTAGGAATCCAGAGTAACCCCTCCACCACATACCACCCCCAGACAGACGGACAAATAGAGAGAGCCAATCAGGAGGTCGAAAAATACCTACGCATATTCGTTTCATACCGCCAAAATGACTGGAGTGAGTGGCTACCCTTAGCCACATTCGCCCACAATAATCAACAGCATTCTGCTACCAGATTCTCCCCATTCAAAGTAATATTTGGGAGAAACAGAGATTTATTCCCTGACACTCACTCGCATCAGAGCAATGTCCCTGCTGCACAAGAGTTCACAGATTACATCACCGAGATCCATTGCTCTGC